TTGTATAGACCCATAACATAGTTCAAGAAAAGTTCAAGATAAATTTCCCCAGGCAGCTTCTCTACTATACTCTGAACTATATGTGATAGACTGTACCACTGGAGGAGTTGGTACTGCTGGTGCTGTGTGAAAGTATTCACGGGGCCAGTGCTGGCATGTTTATGATGTACCATTTAACCAAGAAACAGTACACAATACTGATGCAAGAAGTTCTGCCAGCACTAGTTCTCCAAAATTGCTGCATCAGTACAGATGTAGAATCATGATAAATGTGTGTGAATCTTTGCAAGACTGTAGCCTATTTGTGTAAGCTTCACATACTTCTGTTCAGAGCTTGCAATGTTTTGTGACTGCAGTATGGTAATATACATTGTGTCTACAGTATTAATACAGCTCACATCTCTGCTATTCTGGTTTGTGGGCTGTGAGCAGATGACTGCCTTTCCCAGGCCTCCTTGCCCAGAGATGTGAGAACAAGATTGTTGACTTCATCTCTATGGTAAAAGCCATCATTTGAATGGAGTTTATTTCCATAGCAACTGATTTATGGTGCTACCAAATGAAAGAAAAAGACGATTTGGTTCAAGATGGGAAAGGGAGAAGAAGTAGCTGAAGTGGATACTGGGTTTAAATGATAAATAAATATTTGAAAAACACTCTCTTCTGTTGTGTGATAGTCTTCATACTCATTTCAAACAGATTTAAAAATGAATAATTTTCCCTCCCTAGTTTCCTACCTCAGTTTGTTTTAAGCATAGCAACAATCCAATAAACTTCATTGAACTGCCACCTCAGATGTCAGCAATGAAAATAAATGTCAATGTACTAAAATATTAGTACAGTACTTGCAATACCTTTCAGAATGTTTTGTGGCGAAGAGAAAGAAAAATTTATCTGTCTCAAGGCTGAAAAATCCATCTAAAACACAGACAAAAGAAATGAGTACTATATCTATTGCATTGAAATATCACACATCATATATGGAAATATATGCCTTGTGAGAATCAGTCTATTATTGATTGGGGTAAACGTCCAAATTTCATGCACTGTATCACATATGAACCATTTGTGTTTACAGTATGTTTTCTGTGCAGCCAGATAAGTAATTATATTTTCCTTCGCTAGGAATATGACTTCATTCTAACATGCAAACGCCAGGCACAACGATTACCATAGACAATTTAATTCGTGAAATAATGTAAAAGCTGCTTCTTTTGGCAGACGGTAAGAGTGAGATCCGGAGTCCTTCTCCGAGGTTCTGATTCTTGAACAACTGCCTGGCAGCCCCCAAAAAATCAACAGGTGGAGCTTTTACTACTATGGAAATACTTGCAGTGATAAGGAAGAGCTGCCCCCCCCCGTGTCTCTACCACTCAGGAAGCGGCGTTAGTTCAGGATGGGTTTCCCCCGTTTCCTGATTCAAGTGTGAAACGCTGGCTGTGCAACTTCAGAATGGCCAAGGAAAACAATGGCAATTCCCGCCAGCTACTTGAGTAAGCGAAACTCGTATTTCTAACTTGTGTAGGAAAGAGGAAGCCCGGAACGTGGTTTTTACAAGGCGACATTACGTTTGGTCGCAGAGGCAGTCCTGTTTTCGAAAGGACGTCCGGTGTGACCGTGTTGCTAGTAAGGGAACAGAAACCGGGCGTTGTAGTTTTGCCACAGAGCGGGCGCTCCACTTTCTTCAGCAGACGGGGCGGGGGCTCACATGAGAGGCCCGGGACTGAGGCGAAACGAAGCCGAGCATGGAAAGGCCGTGGAGCACCGTCAGGCTCTCCCGCCGGCTGTGGGGTCTACTCCTGTGTCACGCCCTGCTGCAACAGGACTTCTTCGCCAGAGCGGCGCCGGCCTGTGCAAGCCCCAAGGTTTCCCCGAGTGTGGGTGAGTGGCGCTCCCTTCTCCCCCACAAGCTGCTCGAATCCCGAGCCGGCCAGCTGGAAAGTGCCAGGGCCTCGGTTGCCAGGGTGCAGCGCCAGCGTATAGCATTCCCCGGTTCCCGCCAGAAATGCAAGTGGGTCAAGACAGGGGCCGCCCCAGTTGGAGAAGAGAGACGAGGAGGAGGCTGGGCGAGCCGGCGCGCCGGAGGGGGAGGGAGCGCCGAGCACCTCGCCGAGGAGGGCGAGCTTTGAGGCAAAGGCGCCGGCTGGCCCGAGTTCCCCTCGCTCTCTGGAACAATACAAAACACGACTACGAGGCTGCCGGGGAAATAAACCCGAGAAACGGCACAGGCTGGACGCGGCTGTGTACCTTTACTCTGTGCTTATAAACACGTCCAGTGGTGGAAGAGGGGCAGGATCCTTATGCAGAGACTCCCAACAGTGTCAATTGTTTAAAAGTCCGAAAACAAGGGCGGGTGTTCCCTTTCATGAGAGGACTAAAAACTCGCAGACGGAAGACAGCTTTCGGGCCCTGCGCTACCCATCGCCAGGCTGGGCGTTAGAGAGCTGGGCCTGGGGCGTTCCAAGAATCCTGGCCAGCTCTGTAAACCGGGCTCGCCTTTCTGGTTTGTATTGTGGCACCCCCAACTCTGTAAGGGCTGGCCATGTTGAAGGATCCTGCCCAACCTGAAAGCTGGCTTCTGTCTGTGAGTTTTTAGTGGTCTGATAAAGGCTGCCCCCCCCTTGGATCGCATTGAGGAACCACACTAATCTTTCCTTCAACAACAGCAACTCCTGCTTAAGTCAGTGAGGGTTCCTCCTGGGAAAGTGAGTATTACACACTAGAGGCAGGACAACTAGAGCAAATTGGGATTTGCCCTACCTCTGGTGCACTTTTCCTGCTTTTCTCCTTGCCACCAGTGGAGGGGTCAGGATCTTACAGGTATTCTTCTCCTGCCCAACTCTAATCTTAACCACAGTCTGTGAATGTGTTCCAGAGGGCAGAATGAATGAATACTGGAACAATTGCATATCTCTAAACCACATATACATGGCTGGATAGCTCAGTGGTTAAGCTATCTGGCTGTGGAACCAGAGGTTGGCAGTTCAGTTCCCCACTGTGACTCCCAGAAAGGCTGGCCAGCCTGTGAGGCCTCGGGCAAACTGCACGGTCCCAGGATGTCCCCATAAGAAGGAGATGGCAAACCACTTCTGATTATTGTCTATCTGGAAAGCTCTGAAAAGGGTCACCATAAGTTAGAATTATCTTGACAGCACATGATTATTATGTTAAGCCACATATGCCTCTGTATCATTGTGAAAGCGCCTGTCTTGATTTTGGAAGCGAAGCACAGTCAGGGTTGTTGAATGCTTGGATGGGAGACAACTAAGGAATACTCCAGGGAGTCCAGGAAAATATCCTGTCTGAAACCGTGTTGGTGGTTATGCCTTCTGCTCCACCAACCAAAATGGGCTGTACCCATGAATGATATTAGGTTTCACCATAAGCCTCAACTCATTTGAAGAAGTGGGCTGTGGTCCAAGAAAGGTATATACCTCATAAAACTCGGCAGGCTTCAGAGTACCACAAGACATTGTTGTTTTCAGGTTGAAACAGACCAAGAGGGTTAATGCCCTTGAAATATCAACATATGCACGTTAATCTTGAGTCAAGACTCTTGTTTCAACTGCATTGCAGGTGAAAGTTTTATACATAAGGAAGTTCTGAAACCATCAAAGACGTGTTTACACAAACTAAATGAAGTAGGTGTGTCCCACCTCTTACATGTAAAAAATCAATTGGGAATGTGTCTTCATGATGGCGCTTCAAACTGTACCTTTATGGACATCAAGTTCCCTCTACTAGTTGGCATTACTTCAACAAGTGTGAACTTCAGTGTGAATGAAATATGGTGTTGTGAGCTTAAGTAATACTTCATATTTTTCTGTCTCCAGTAGAGCTCAGAACAAACTGCTGGTTTGTTAGGTGGTTTGTCCTGGTTTGTCTTTCGGATGAACAGGTGTTTCCCACTTCCTAGCCCTTCCTTATCCAGCAGGTGCACATTCAGAAGCAGCGCCCAGAGAAGGTGGGGCAGAGGGTAGGCACGGCCTCTGAATAGGCTCCCACTGGAGGAGGTGGGTTTGGGAAGTGCCTGTGTACCAAAGTACAAAACTGGTATGAACCACCAAACTGTCAGACCAGTCAGCCTCTATATGGGAGGGGCTGTTTCTTTTGTCACATGTTGCAAAATGACTTAGGCTGAAATGTTACCGTTCAGGAAACAGTTTACCACCTCAGTGAGAATTCAACTGTATTTTTCCCCAGGGGCGAGATTACAAGAAAACCTCAGCTGAATGTCTGTCACAGGCACATGAGCCTCATGTATGGGGCAGCTACGAGGATCATAGAATCATAAAATATTGGAGCTGGAAGGGACCTGTAAGACCATTAAGTCCAACCTCCGCTCTATGCAGGAATCCATGTTAAAGCATATCTGATAGATCACTGGTTCTTAACCTTGAGTTACTCAGGAGTTTTGGACTGCAACTCCCAGAAGCCTTCACCACCAGCTGTGCTGACTGGGGTTTCTGGGAGTTGCAGTTCAAAAGCATCTGAGTAACAAAGGTTAAGAACCACTGTGATAGATGGCTAACTTCCTCTTGAATTCCTCCAGTACTGGAGTACTCAGCACCTCCTGAGATCATTGATTCAATTGTTAGGATGTTTTTCCTGATACAGTGGACCCTCTACTTACAGAATTAATCTGTATTGGAACGGTGGCTGCAGGTCAAAAAGTCTGTAAGTCAAGTCTCCATTGACCTACAATGCATTGAAAACCAGTTAATCCCGTAACCCGCCATTTTTGTTCCATTTTGGTTTTTTTCTGGTATGTAGGTCGATTCTCCGGCTGCAAGTCGAACCTAAATTTTGCGTCCAGAGAAGTCTGTAACTCGAAAAGTCTGTAAGTTGAGCCGTCTGTAAATCGAGGGTCCACTGTATTCAACTGAAGTCTGGCTCCATATAGCTGGAGCCCATTATTATATATCTTGCACTCTGGGATGACTGAACAAATCCTGTCCCTCTTCTGTATAACAATCCTTCACACATTTGAAAAGTGCTATCATATCTCCCTTCAGTCTCCTTTTCGCAAGGCTAAATATGCCCAGTTCTTTCAGTCTTTCTTCATAGGGCTTGGTTTCTAATCCTTTGATCATCCTAGTTGCCGTCCTCTGAACCGGCTCCAATTTGTCAGCGTCTTTGTTAAAGTGTAGTGTCAAGAATTGGACATAGTACTCAAAATGAGGCCTAACCAGTGTCAAATAGAAGGGAACTACATGCGTACCTTGGTTTATGAACGCCTCGGTTAATGTAATTTTTGGTTTATGAAGGAAAATCCATTGAAAATAACACCCTGGTTTACGATTTTCAATGTGAAGCAAGTTTCACTAGGATGCATTGCGGCAGGGAGATTTATAGCTCCGCCTCCGTGCATGCATTCCTATGGGAAACTGCGTTTTGGTTTACGCATTTCTCGTAATACAAAACGTTCCGAAGAACGCGTTAAATTCGTAAACTGAGGTACCACTGTATATGATTTGGAATCCATAGATATGGTATATGACTCACTGATGGGACCATCTGGATCAGAAAAAAAGACCTAATCTGCAAGTGCTTTTGCTTAGAACAATCCATCCTTCCTCTTTAAGAACTCTTGTGCACCTTTCTGGCCCAGCGCTAGGGCTTGCATTCTTCTTGGCACACTCTTGTTGTTTGGCCTCCAGCAATCTCTGCCACAATGGCTGTAGATTCCAAGGGAAAACAGAGAAAGTGGGGGGGGAGGGGAGAATGAGGAAATGGAAGCAGGGAAGGGAAAAGGGAGAAAATGGAAGGACACTGATAAGAGGAAGAGAGGAGTGATGTTAAAAAAATTCACTTTCCCTTACCCTCTGCAAAAAAATCTGGGGAAAGGCTTAATTGATAGTGTTTGATCTCATTTTTTGATCAGGTAACCTCCCTGATTGACAGATGGAATGCTGTAGACACAGTATATATTGACTTCAGCAAAGCTTTTGACAAAGTGCCCCATTATATCCTGATTAGCAAGCTAACTAGGTATGGGCTGGATAGATCAAGTGTCAGGTGGATACACAATTGGCTACAGAATCGTACTCAGAGGGTGATGATTAATGGGTCCTTCTCTAACTTGGAGGAGGTAACAAAGGTACCCCAGGGCTCAGTTCTGGGCCTGGTACTATTCAATACTTTTATTAATGACTTGGATGAGGGAATGAAGGGAATGCTTGTCAGATTTGCAGATGATATCAAATTGGGGGGAATAACTAATATCCTAGAAAACAGAAACAAAATTCAAAATGACCTTGATAGGGTGGAGCACTGGGCCAAAAGCAACAGAATGAAATTCAAGAGGGCTAAGTGCAAAGTATTGCACCTCGGAAAAAGAAACTAATTGCACAGTTACAAGATGGGGGATAACTGGCTCAGGAAAACTATGAGCGAGAAGGATCTTGGAATTGTCTTAGATCACAAGCTAAATATGAGCCAACAGTGTGATGAGGCTACAAAAAAGGCAAATGCTATTTTAGGCTGCATTAATAGAAGTATAGTTTCCAAATCCCACGAGGTGCTGGTCACCCTCTATTCAGCACTGGTTAGGCCTCTCCCTATTGTGTTCATTTATGGACACCACACTTCAAGAAGAATGCTAAAAAACAAGTTCAGAGGAGGGCGACAGGGATGATCAGGGGGCTGGAAACCAAGACTTATGAGGAAAGGCTGAAAGAATTGGCTTTGAGGAAAAAAAAGACTGAGGGGTGATAGGATAGCATTTTTCAAATATCTGCCATACAGAGGAGGAGCAAGTTCTGTTCTTGATCACTCCAGAGTGCAGGACACACAACAATGGGCTCAAGTTAAAGGAAGCCAGATTTCGGTTGACTATCAGGAAAAACTTCCTAACTGTTAGAGCAGTATGACAGTGGAACCAGTTACCTCGGGAGTTGGCTCCAACACTGGAGGCATTAAAAAAACTTAGATAATTACCTGGCAGATATGCTTTGATTGTATTCCTGCATTAAGCAGGGGGGTTGGACTTGATGGTCTTGTAGACCCCTTCCAACTTCACTTTTCTGTGATTCTATGATTCTATAGCTGATTGGGCTACAAGTGATCATTTACTGTTTGGACGGGAGGAACATGCGAAATGGTACATAATCCTCCTCCCCCCGCCCCCGGGACCTCAACAGACCCTTGGTAATCCAATCCATCCCACATTCAAAATAGCCAGTCTGGACATGCCCTATACTTCAGTTAATGCAGCCTAAAATAGTATTTGCCTTCTTTTGCAGCTGCATCACACTTTTGGCTCAATATTCTGCTTGTGATCTACAACAACTCCAAGCACCCTCTTGGATGTAGTAGGGCTGAACCAAATATCTCCATCTTGTCACTGTGCATTTCGAGAACATGGGGGAATACATCAGTGATAATTTGAATAAGCTACAGACAGATCCTGTTCATTTAATATATTTAAGTGTCATCTGTAGTGCTCTGTAAAAACTCTGTAAAATGTATATTAAACATTTCTGTAAATATCTCCAGACATATTTTTGAATGTCTATCGCTCAGTTTTTACAGAGCATTTGGCAGTCAATAATTCAGAAGTCCACCACATTTTGTAAAGTGCTTTCACTGGAATACAGTTGTGAAAAATCCCAAAGGTATCTGGTGTGTAATAGCTAAACAAGTCCATTAATTAGCATGCTAGGCAATCCTACCTGTGTTCTTCAGCTCCCATAAGAAACTCTCCATATCAGATTTTCAGTAGAGGAGAGGTTGCAAGGTAGGTGAGGAGAGGAGAGGCCTTTTGTCTTTGCAGTCAGATGCTACTGCAATACTGGATTTAGGCTTCCGTCATTTTGCTAGTTATAACAGCTCTACCATTGGAAGTATGGTAGTTTTGTCAGATAAACAAATAGAATTCTTTTCATGCTGGAAGGGGAGAGAAAGAATGAGAATGGAACAATCTATTTCCTCTGAAATTGCCTCTGAAATACTGAAATATTTGCATTTAGCTTTTACTGTAAAGATTTAGGAGTTTCTGATATGTACATATTTAGTACAGTTTAGTGAGTCCTCACATGAAGAAACTCTGTTGTACTGTACAGTGTAAATATAAAAAAGAAGTTATTTACCATTTGGCCATGAAAATATGTTTAAGGGCCAACAGTTTCAGGTAATTCTTGACTTACAAGCTTGTATCTGGCAGAGTTTGGGCAGAGGTCAAGTTCAGGAACTGCACCAGATCTGCCACATTTTTACTCCTCACACGGGTGTAACATAAATGAGTAATGAAGTAGCATGTTTAAATTCATAATTCATATGGTTTGAACCTGTGGCCTAACCTAGGACTGGCCCTTCTACTGTATTAGGTAACCATTTTAAGTGATCGTCATCGTCATTTAGTTGTGTCCGACTCTTCGTGACCCCATGGACCAGAGCACGCCAGGCCCTCTTCCACTGCCTCCCGGAGTTGTGTCAAATTCATGTTGGTTGCTTCGATGACACTGTCCAGCCATCTCATCCTCTGTCGTCCTCTTGCCCACTTTCCCAACATCAAGGTCTTTTTCAAGGAGTCTTTTCTTCTCATGAGATGGCCAAAGTACTGGAGCCTCAGCTTCAGGATCTGTCCTTCCAGTAAGCACTCAGGGTTGATTTCCTTTAGAATTGATAGGTTTGTTCTCCTTGCAGTCCTGGGGACTCTCAAGTGTCTCCTCCAGCACCACAATTCAAAGGCATCAATTCTTTGGCGGTCAGCTTTCTTTATGGTCCAGCTCTCACTTCCATACATCACTACAGGAAAAATCATAGCTTTGACTATTCAGACTTTTGTTGGCAAGGTGATGTCTCTGCTTTTTAAGATGCTGTCAAGGTTTGTCATCGCTTTCCTCCCAAGAAGCAGGCGTCTTTTAATTTCGTGGCTGCTTTCTCCATCTGCAGTGATCACGGAGCCCAAGAAAGTAAAATCTGTCACTGCCTCCATATCTTCCCCTTCAATTTGCCAGGAGGTGATGGGACCAGTGGCCATGATATTAGTTTTTTTGATGCTGAGTTTCAGACCGTTTTTTGCACTCTCCTCTTTCACACTCATTACAAGGTTTAGTTCCTCCTCACTTTCTGCCATCAGAGTGGTATCATCTGCATATTGGAGGTTGTTGATATTTCTTCATCTTAATTCAGCTTGGGATTCATCCAGTGATAGAGGGGGACAAAAAATGTAGGGACATGTTGAAGGACAGGACAAAATATACTATAGGGCCTACCCACATCTTCAGAAGTGATGGAGAATGTTGTCTCATTGCCAGTAGTGTGATTTAATTTGCAATCTCTTTAGCTTCTGCACGTATAATGGGAGAAAGCATCTTGTTACTCAGACAACGACATATTTCAGTCTGTTATGTCCAAATAGCACTGGACTTTATGTTCACATATTCACGCATCAAAAGACCAAAAAGTCAGTGCTCCAGAGGTATTCACTTACAGTACAATCTTGAAAGCAAAGCATTGTCTGTCTCTGGAAGGTTGTTTCAGGATTGTTTCTCAGTGCAGGGCTTAAAGTAGGTAGCCTTTATATCCCTTTCAGCCCAATGATTGTGTGTCCTATAATAGGTCCTCCTACCTGCACCATTGTACCACAGACAATCTCAAGGACAAAGTAGGTAAAGAGATATCTATTCGTTCTCTCTTTTCTATTGTCAAAGGTATTCAGTCTTTTTTATTCATACAATTGAGTAGAAACTTTTATCTTTTCCTTAATACTGTGTTTGCTTTCTTCAGCTCATTCCATTCGCAAAGAATTTAAGCACACCCAGCTGTTTCTTCCTTTTTTTTCTGTCAAGGTTCATGACAGCCATGTAGCTAGTATGGGAAAAGTTGTGGTACCAGCTCACCCTAGAGCTGTGCTACACAGCCATGGGATTTTTAATTTATGTGATAATTATATGATAATTATGTGATAATTATATGATAATTTTTGACAATAACAGCCTACATTTAAACGCAGCTTTTTTAAGAAAAATGAACAATTTTATTAATAGTATCCTCTGTAAAAAAATCAGTGGATGAGACAGCATAAGCTCAAAACAAAAAGCTTGTTTGGAATGACAACAACAATAATTGTGTGCTGTCAAGTCAATAATGAGTTATGGTGACTCCTTCTTTTCAGGATTTTCTAGGTAGAAAGTAATCAGTAGTGGTTTACCAACCCCTTCTTCTGGGGACATCCTGGGACTGTGCAGCTTGCCCAAGACCACACAGGCTGGCTCTACTCAAAGGAGGCTCAGTGGGGAATCAAACTCCCAACCTCTGGCTTTGTAGCAGGGTGGATCTGATTTAAAGCATGATTTAAATTATGATTGAAATAAAAAAAAATGATTTTTTTGATTATTTAAATTTTTAAAGTTTTTTTTTTTAAAAATTAAATTGTGATTTAAACCATATTTGATTTTTTAAATTCATTTTTAACTGAGCTCACCGAGTCAGCTCTTAATTGGAAGGCCACCTGAAAATTTGCGAAAAAACTTTCCTTAACTACGTGGATTTTTCATTATCACAATCACTCTGATTATAATCAGTGGCCCTGCCAATAAACAGACAAGCCTTTGTAGTTACAGGTCTCTTTAGAGGTTAAGGATTAAAACGTATTTTGGGTTAAAGGTAGGCTCTGAGCCTTGGACCTTCCTTTCTCCTGCTTTTTAGTATCAGCCTTCAGTATCAGCTATGTTTGTTTGCCTGCAGGAAGAACCACAATTTTAGTTACTCAGTTATTATGATGAGTTATGTTGGATTGAATTGTTATTGCTAAGCAGTAAAATAAAGAGATAACGTAAAAGTAACATGAAAAAATTGTTCTTAAAGCACTCTATGTACTTATACTCATAATTCACATTATTTTTGTTCTCTCCCCCTCTGAAAGCAGGGCAGTTTTGGCATATCTCTGATTTACACTTGGACCCCACCTACCACATCACAGGCAACCACACTCAAGTGTGTGCCTCATCCAAAGGAGTAAATGCATCCAACCCTGGTCTATTTGGAGATTTTATGTGTGATTCTCCATACCGCCTTATTTTATCAGCTTTGCAGTACATGAGGGATTCTGGTCAGCAAGTATCCTTCATGATATGGACAGGGTACGTAAGTAAAGACATGAGTGTTTCTGATACATAGCTACTTGAAGAGTCAAAACAAATATATGTGAGGGGAACAGATTTTATTTTATTTTGCAAGATGGGCCAGAATTTTGTTTGCTTCTATGACTGCATTATGGCCTTGTAAGTGTTTACCTACCTCAGGCAGGTTCTCCTTTCTGTAACTGGTCATATACTGCTTGTGAAATCATGCATACCACTACCAGCACAACTGCTCACAGGAAGGACAGCCTACCAGAAGAAAAGAAATGCTGCATACTTTTCTTTACATGGTTTTCTCTTGGACGATGGTCTTTAATTTTAAGAACATAGTTACGCAGTCTTCATGTATGATGTATTCTGTATGTATACCCTCTGAGATACAGTACGGTGGTATTATAAAATATCTTACATACCATACTTTCTGCAAGATACTATAAGAATTTCTTCACTATACTTTACCAAAAAAACAGTGATTTTTCTTCCCCAAGCAAGATACTATAAGAATTTCTTCACTATAATAAAAAACAGTGATTTTTCTTCCCCAGTCAACAAGCTCTTGGGGTTACCTGGAAAAATGTATGCAAATCTGGTAAATGTGTTAAGTGTGTGTTTTGTGACTTGGGTGTGCTAACATAAGGAAGATGTGCAGTATTCATATGTTGGAATATATTATCTGGATGGCAGCTGCTCGGATAATGACCGTCTGCAAATAGGAATGGTTAAAGTTACAAATGTTTTTCTGCTCAAGGTTTTTCTGTCTTCTTGAATGTGTAGAAGAGGGACACAGTTGTTACTTGTTTAACTATTCTCTGGGCCTGTAGCATGAGCAAATGGGGTTTCATGTAGCCTAGCTAGAATGGTACAGATAATAAATTTAGGGGAGGCACAGGAAATGCAGATTAGAGCCTGCTTGTTGGAATTTGGGAAGGTGCAGTCTGGCTAGTAGGTCCTGCCCTTGTCATGGGCAGGGGACAAGAAGCCCCCAAATGTTGTTGAGATTCATCTCTGTTCGACCCTAGCTAATATAGGCAATGGAGAAAAGTCAAAGGAGTTGCTTGACAGAATCTGGGGGGGCTACATATTCCACATCCCAATCCTAGATCCAAACGAAATGGTTAGGAAGTAGATGGCAGGCTTATGACAGAGGTCATGGGCCGATGGCAAGGGGCAGGAATTTGCCTACGCTGGGCTGTCTTTTGGAAGATCAGTGGCTGTTCATTTTAATTACACTACTAGCTCCCAAGCAGCTGCTGTCATACATAAAAACATTTCATAATTTATGATTTCACTGTTGAGGTAATTGTAAAAGTCATCATTCTGAATATGTACAGTAGCAACAACATACTATTAGGATAGAACAGACACTAAGCTTGGGTCTGAGTTTTAAGATAACCAAGGTGGATGGTTGTTTATTTCCATTTTTCCATGAAGAGACAGTCCTCCGCATGTTCCAGTGAAAGAACTCTCCACAAAACTCGTCATTGATATCATTGGCAACTTGACTGCTACCATAAGAAGTTTCTTTCCAGATCTCCAAGTTTTCCCTGCATTGGGAAATCATGACTACTGGCCACAGGTAAGTAATGTTTGTCTTTACAATATTTTGCCTTTTTTTCTTTCTTTTGTTCTTTTTCTCTCCTCCTGCCCTCAGTTTTGCCTTCAACATTGTACTATGAATCTTTCTCAAATCTGATGTGGTGGGCATGATCCTCTGTCACCTGTCATTTTGAATATATGCATGTTTAGAGCATAATAAAAAAATCTCGACCCTAGCTAATATAGGCAATGGAGAAAAGTCAAAGGAGTTGCTTGACAGAATCTGGGGGGGCTACATATTCCACATCCCAATCCTAGATCCAAACGAAATGGTTAGGAAGTAGATGGCAGGCTTATGACAGAGGTCATGGGCCGATGGCAAGGGGCAGGAATTTGCCTACGCTGGGCTGTCTTTTGGAAGATCAGTGGCTGTTCATTTTAATTACACTACTAGCTCCCAAGCAGCTGCTGTCATACATAAAAACATTTCATAATTTATGATTTCACTGTTGAGGTAATTGTAAAAGTCATCATTCTGAATATGTAGTAACAACATACTATTAGGATAGAACAGACACTAAGCTTGGGTCTGAGTTTTAAGATAACCAAGGTGGATGGTTGTTTATTTCCATTTTTCCATGAAGAGACAGTCCTCCTCATGTTCCAGTGAAAGAACTCTCCACAAAACTCGTCATTGATATCATTGGCAACTTGACTGCTACCATAAGAAGTTTCTTTCCAGATCTCCAGATTTTCCCTGCATTGGGAAATCATGACTACTGGCCACAGGTAATGTTTGTCTTTACAATATTTTGCCTTTTTTTCTTTCTTTTGTTCTTTTTCTCTCCTCCTGCCCTCAGTTTTGCCTTCAACATTGTACTATGAATCTTTCTCAAATTTGATGTGGTGGTCATGATCCTCTGTCATCTGTTATTTTGAATATATGCATGTTTAGAACATAGTAAAAATAATAAATAAATAATAAAAATCTGTAACTTTCTGTTACATTTTATTACAACTTTTTAAAATAACTTGTATTAAAACATAAAAAACCTTCTTATTACAACAAATTGCGTTTTCAGATAGGTTATGACTATGTGATTATATACTAGGGAGTGCAGCTTTGGGGTACACCTTTGAACAAGATACCCCCAGTTGTTTCCCTTAAACTGAAAAAGGAAGATTGTGCAGATGGCAGATTTTTACACTGCCATCTGGATCTGGATCTGGAATGAATTCATTCTGGGATACATTGCACATGGATTTTTCCCCTTATAGGATAACTGCACATGCATTTCTATATGTGACCAATGCATGTTTGTTTCTTGAATGTATTCTGTTAATACTGCAGAATACAGCTCCACAATTTGATGATTGGAAACCCAATATAAGAAACCTCCCTTTTAAAGGCAATCAAAGAATAATCAGTTGTGAATATTTTATATTTTATTTTATACAGTATTCCTACATAGAAATAATATGGTTATACAGTGGTGCCTCGCATAACGATTTTAATTGGTTCCAAAAAAATTGTCGCTAAGTGAAAACATCGCTAAGCGAAACCATTGAAATGCATTGAAAACCGGATAATCCGTTCCAATAGGAAGAAATTGCCGTCCTTAAGCAAAAATCGCCATAGGAAACATCGCTAAGCGAAACGCAGTTCCCCAATTGAAATGCATTGAAACCTATTCAATGCATCTCAATGGGGGAAAAATTCTACAACAAATTAAAAGAGAGTCAGAACAAAGTCAAATTTGGTTAACAAAGGGTTTACTGAGTGCACTTTATGATTTCAAACATTTTAAACAGTAAACTTTAAAAAGTAAACAGTAAACATTTAAAAAACAGCAAACATAAGGCTGTTTAAACCATCGTTAAGCGAAATAGGGGAACCAAAAATTTAATCGTTATGCGAAGCATGGTCCCAACATCGTTAAGCGTAAATTGCCCATAGGGACCATCGTTAAACAGAGTGCAAAACACTCTGAAAAAATCATCGCTAAACGAATTCATCGTTAAATGAAGCACTCGTTAAGCAAGGCACCACTGTATTCTGTTGTGAGAATCTCTATATTGCTTGGGTTTGTTGGTTCAAATATAACTTAGTTGGACAGTGTCCTTCAATCAGTTTTGTGTGATAAAAGGACATGTATGTCTTTTTAGGAGTAAGTCTCAATGAGCTTGGCTATGCTTACTTCAAGGTAATTTTGTATAGGATTCAGCCTAAATATCCATGTTTGTATATCTCTTAATGAGCCCTTTTGTGCCAGAATGAATAATACTTTTGTGCAAAAAATACAAAGGAAGAAACTGCTGGGTAACTCTGTGGCTTAGGTCCAGAGCCAGAGGCTGGGAGTTTGATTCCCATTGCGCCACCTTGACAGAGGATGGTGGGTTCCTTCCAGCTCTGCAGTTTTAAGACGATAATAACAATTATAAATGCCCAGATAAAGCTAAAATATCTCCACACTATAGGGAGTTAACAAATGGTTCTTGTTTTAATGGAGAGAGTTACACAAAGTGTTGAAATAGGTACTACTCCTGCATGCAAACAAATGGAGGAAAATTACATTTATTATTGATAGCATGTGAATCCATTAATATATGCATAACTGGAATTGGTTTTCTCTTTATTATCATTGTATGCGAAAATGGAAATAGCACATATCTACTTTTAAATATAATGCTTTTAAAAACAATTGTGCATAAATTTTAAGCATTTCTTAGTAATCTGTTTCTCTTCTAATTTGTAATTTTCAACATCAAGTCTTTCCCCCTTTCTTTAATGTATTCTTGGAATATATGTGTGAAAGGTTGGTATGAAAAGTTAGGATTTGGGCATATGAATAGATCGTAAGATGTCATTACAGAATGCATCCAGGTTTGCCTTGCATCCATTTCTTCTCACTGTTTGGCCTTTTCATTTAAAAAAAATGAACTGAGCTTAAAGATTCATACATGTTGTCTACCCTTGATGTTAAACAATCTTTATAGTTGTGGATTTGATAGATTAGGAAACCCAGCATGATTCTTTCATTCAAAAATACAATTTAATTTTATCAAAATATGTATGTTGCACACCAATATGTGCCCATTATGTGTATGTATATATTTGTGACTACTTGAAATTTAAACGGTTGTTCATGAAAGCATAGTCTGAAGGAAGTGCTTATTTTTAAAGGATCAGATGCCAGTGTCTACCAGTGAAGTTTACAATGCTGTAGCAGATTTTTGGAAACCTTGGCTTACTGGTGAAGCTGTTAGCACTTTTAGAAAAGGTAAGATGTAATGTAAAAAAGCAAAAAAGACATTTCCTATCTTTAACAAGCTACATGACACACATGGATGTTACTGAATTAGCAAAATTCTGAAGCTTGACCTCTTGTTTTTTTAAAGTTTGTTTATTAACAAAAAAACATATATAAGGAAAATAATCTGAAAACCAATTTGACTCACACAAGAGCTCTGGTAAGGAAAAAGGTTTCTTATTTCAGAGTACTTTCTTTCATTGCACTGGCATGAAAGTGGATGGACTAAGTTCAAAATGTTTGTAATAACACAAAAATACTGAATATTTTGGTGCTTTTGATGTTAGGTTTGGCCATTTACCAGAAAAAACTATGATATACTACAAGATGTAAACTCACTTTTTCAAAACAATTGAATATAATCAGTTACTTCAGCGATGTTACTCCTTTATTGCTCTTTAATCCTTTACAGTTACTGCCAAACAAAATTGTTTGGAAATAGTTGTTATGTATAATTAAAATATTATTTGAATTTGTAACTTAGAACCACAACCTGTTTCTTAAAGGGGCATACAAATAAACTTCGTATCTCTGATAACTTTTAAGAACTAGAAATATACATAAACATTTCCCCCTTGGGTTAACCCTTTGTCTGCAAAATTAAATGCAGTAAATTTTAACTGCTACCTTTTTTCGTCTAATAAAAACCCTAGAAATATGCAGATTCCACAAATACTAAAGATATAATTCAAGTTATCTTTCCTAATTTCCACTTACTCCTTGCTCTTTCTGCCAATGTAATTATACCCAATGGTGTTACCCAACGAGAATATGTATACAGTATCTGATTTCAGTCCATAGGAAGGATTTTGTTGAAAACTGAGTTTTGGTAATTTACTCTGAAGAAGTCTCACTGATTTCAGTTGACTTTTCTGGATTGTAATGATTTGAGAACTGATGACATGGATTTTTGTCTCCCCACCACATCCACAGGTGGCTTTTATACACAGGTATTTCAGCCCAACACAACTATTCAGCCTCTTAGAATAGTCAGTTTAAATACAGTCCTATATTACACTCCCAACATTGTGACTCACAACATGACTGATCCAGCAAACCAGTTTGAATGGCTGGAGAGTGTACTAGAATCAGCAAAGCAGAACAAGGAAAAGGTAGGAATTATTTAGAAGTTAATAGTAGCATCATGATCGTTTGTTTGTATGTTTACAGAGCTTATAAATAAATAAATACTGGCTCCTCAGCAAATAAACCTTTCCCAGCCAGTAGGAAAGGGGAAAACATTGGAATGGGGACACAGTGGACTGAATCAGAGTGTACCAGCTGGGCTGTGACAAAATCCTTAGTATGGCTGGGATGCAAAATATTTCTCTGACATCTTCATCTACTCTAGAAGAGTCCGCCCTGAAAGCTCTCAAATAGCCTGTGATTGGGTTCTTTGAAAATCTGTAGCAGTTCCTCTCCCTTGGCGGCAAATGACAAACGACCCTCTTCTTTTTAAACATTCAACTTTTTGTTTGTCTCAACATTAAGTGAATCAATAACCACTTCTATAGGTTAGAACAAGTCAACATCTGGTAACTGTCCATATCTTGAAAATAACAACTCTTGATTAACAGTAACATGATTCACAGCGGGGCTGGTCCAAAGCGCTCCTGATCTGTTGGTGTCCTCAAAGGAGCACTCGGTACCACGCAGATTGTCCCACAATATGGATATCAAGCCCAATCCCCCATAAACAGGAATTGTTGGGGATGGGTCTGGGACAGATCATCTTCCTCGAGGACCCTATCCTTGTGGGAAGACCACTACTGTCCATTTTAGGGGATCCAACATTGTCCCTTTTCCTCGCAATGGATCTGGCAACAGTCCTCCCACTTTCAGATTTGGGAAATCGTCCAACAATCTGCGTGCTTTATCGTAGTCCACCTTTTTCTCCTTCCCTTTCTCCTTCAGTCCTCCCACTTTCAGATTTGGGAAATCTTCCAACAATCCGCACACTTTATCATAGTCCACCTCTTTCTCCTTCCCTTTCTCCTTCATATCCTTTCCACATTCTGCTCTTATCAGAACTCTAAACACCCTCTCACCTCCACACTCTTCATTTATTGATTGATTGATTGTTTGATTTGATGTGATTTATATCCCGCCCATCTGGTATATTCTACCACTCTGGGCGGCTACAACAAACATATATTCATTAAAATAACACAGAGCCATTGACATAATCAGTAACAAGAACAGTGCAAAATATATAATAAATGATAAATAGCAAAAAGAAAAGGCGGGGGGAAGGCCTGGGTGTACAGCCAAGTTTTTAGTCGGTTTTTAAATTTCCACCTCTTTCTCCTTCCCTTTCTCCTTCATATCCTTTCCACATTCTGCTCTTATCAGAACTCTAAACACCCTCTCACCTCCACACTCTTCATTTCCTTCTTCATATCCTTTCCACATTCTGCTCTTATTGGAACTCTAAATACCCTCTCAACTCCACACTCTTCTTCTTCCTCCCAAACTGGTAAAACTAACTCCTCCCCTTCTTTTCCCCATCTCTCCTCTACCAGGCAAATCTCTTTCTTTTCCTCCCCTTTTCCTCCTTCAATGTTTAACTCTTCACTTTCTCTCACTTCTGCTGATTCTACCTCCTGTTTTGTCTCAGTTGTCCTGATTTGAGGGGACGGCTCACTCTGTTCTACTTTCTCCTTCTCTACTGATCCTTCACATAGCCCTTACATAATGTAGGGGAGTTGCTCACACGAATCTCTGGAGGAAGGTTATTCCAGAGGTGAGGAGCCACCGCCGAGAAGGCCCGGTTTCGTGTCTTTTCCCTCCGGGCCTCCCTTCTCCCTCTTCCTCCCAAACTGATAAAACTAACTCCTCTTTCCCCCCTCTCTCCTCTACCAAGCAAATCTCTTCCTTTTCCTCCCCCTTTCCTCTTTCAATGTTTAACTCTTCACTTTCACTTCTGCTGATTCTACCTCCTGTTTTGTCTCAGTCGTCGTGATTTGAGGGGACGGCTCACTCTGTTCTACTTTCTTCTTTCTCTACCGATCCTTCACATAGCCCTTACATAATGTAGGGGACTTGCTTTTTATTACCATTATTAGAAACAGAGAGATTGGGAAAGGAATTTTCTCATCCTCTGATGTTATGCAGCTATCAGTGAATAACTTGGAGGCAAGCTGAATTGGAGTGATTCTGCTTTGTTGCAGTTTGATTTGTGGTCTCTTTTATGGTTGTATTCAGTTTAGATGATTACATAAAGATCCCAGATAGTTTCTCTGCCAGTTTTCGCACTAGGCCTAAGTCCGGTCCAATATGATATGCACACACAGCCCTTTGATAACCACCCACCTGACAATCCCCTGCTAACATTTCTTATTTTTGTTTTGGTTTGTGCAGAGATGATCTAGCACTAAACTATTCAATCACTTCAATGATAAGGTGATCTAGTGCTCAACTCAGTAGTTTGTTAAATACATACATACATGCATGCATGCATACATATTTGGGCGGCTAGGGAGAAAGATTTCAAGGATTGGTGTTTTTGCTTCCCTGAAATATCACCCAGCTTAATAAGTCGTTATAGCACCACCCCAAGTCACCTCCCACCCATCCTTTTGTAGAACACAAAAGTTGTTCACACAAGGAGAACACCATTCAAGTTGTTCTGGCTTAAAAAAATTAGAAGCCCCCAATAGTGAGGGGAAAAATCCATATTGGAAGTGAAAAGAGATGAGCTGTCATGATGATCTAGCACTAAACTATTCAATCACTTCAATGATAAGGTGATCTAGTGCTCAACTCAGTAGTTTGTTAAATACATACAAACATGCATGCATACATATTTGGGCGGCTGGGGGAAAGATTGCAAGGATTGGTGTTTCTGCTTCCCTGAAATATCACCCAGCTTAATAAGTCATTATAGCACCACCTCAAGTCACCTCCCACCCATCCTTTTGTAGAACACAACCTTTGTTCACACAAGGAGAACACCATTCAAGTTGTTCTGGCTTTTAAAAAGTAGAAGCCCCCAATAGTGAGGGGGGGAAATCCATAGTGGAAGTGAAAAGGGGTGGGCTGTCATGGGCCTTTGCATTGTATGATCATTGAAAAATACTTTGAATTCGCATGTGCTAATTGCAGAGCAAATCTTAGTATTTGTCAATGTAGTCACAGCCTGAGTCAGATGGTGCTCATTCTCCAGAACTCCAGACTTAGAATAAGCCTAGGAGAAATTGAAAATCATTAACCCATATGACACTAAGGCAATTGCTCCAAGTAAATAAGCTTTAGGCCTTTATCACAAACTCCATTTTAATTCCAAATTGCCAGAATCTTCTTGGTTATTCATTCTGTTTTAAATGCAGTGTCATACATCTCACCAAGAAATTGCTGTTGGTTAGTAAGCTGTTGTTTGTGTTCTTTTTGATACACAGATGCACGACTTAGCATGTAATTTGTGGGAATTTGTTGCTGCACTTTACTCCATTGCACTTAAATCAGCATAAAGAACCAATGGGATTCTGGCCAAAAAAACCCAAAATATGGGAAATGTTTACAACTCAGAAAGTAGCCAGAGACAAAATTAGATTATAAATAGTTTCTTTCAATCAACATTATCATATGCAACTAACATATTTGGCTGAATATACAAATCATCTTTGTGCTGTTTATTTATCCCCAGGTTTATATAATAGGACATATTCCAGTAGGCTATCTGGCTCATGTTCGAAATATTACTGCCATAAGAGAACACTACAATGAGCGGTTGATAGACATTTTTCGGAGGCACAACAGTGTAATTGCTGGACAGTTCTATGGACATACCCACAGAGACAGCATCATGGTTCTTCTGGATAAAAATGGTAATGTCCATGAAATACTATGTTCTTAGCTAGAATCATGGATACAAATAAATAAAAAACATTTTGTATATTTGGATTGTTTAATTATTTGCAACAGAATGTCTGTGAAGATTCTCAGTCATCCAGGTGAGGTTATCTGGAAGTTGAGTCATGGCAACTGGACTTTTTTATTAGGTAGAAATGTTTCGCTACTCATAGAAGTAGCTTCTTCAGTCTGAGGAGAGTTAGTAGGAGACCCCTGGTGGTGTATATCCTCCACGTTGGCTTGACCTCCCTCTGGTCTGAATAGGTTCCTTAGAAGGAAAAAGGACAGGGGGGGGGGTTGAATGAAAATACCACTTCTGCAGTCCTTCTCCACTGTTAATGTCATGGGTCATTAACAGTCATTAACAGTGAGTGTGGTCCTGATCTTTCTGGAGAGGGATGAACGGGAGACCCCTGGTGGTGTATATCCTCCACGTTGGCTTGACCTCCCTCTGGTCTGAATAGGTTCCTTAGAAGGAAAAAGGACAGGGGGGGGTGTTGAATGAAAATACCACTTCTGCAGTCCTTCTCCACTGTTAATGTCATGGGTCATTAACAGTCATTAACAGTGAGTGTGGTCCTGATCTTTCTGGGGAGGGATGAACGTTTTCCTGCTGTCTTCAACCTTTCTCAGTGTTATTGTCTTTTCCAAAGAATCTTGCCTTCTAATGATGTGCCCAAAGTAGAACTGCCTCAGTTTCATCATTTTGCCTGCAGAGATCAGCCTTGATTTGTTCTAGGACCCAATTAAGACTATCTCAAAGTCCTTGAGTTTCCTCTTCTCAGAGCTTCAAATTCTGATGTGATTTCTTTGTAATTCCTCTTTCCTGTATCATTTGTTCCCACATGGATGAGAAAAAAACAGATATGCATCCATATGTTTTATGAGGGATGGAATCCTTCAGTATCATCCCTGATCTGTCCTCTTGGAAGACAGCATACCTGGCAGGTCCATGGATCTTCCCAGCTTATTTCAATTTCAACCCCCCACACTAGGGAGTCTCCTACTACAGCTACTCTTCTCTTCTCCTTTTTGTAGGGTATGAGTTCAATGATTCTGCTTGGCTGAGCTTCAGCCTCTCTCAGATCCTGCATGTATTCCCCTCTGTGTCCTCCTTTGCATGCTCTCTGCCAGACTCCTTTACAAGAATCTGAAAGTGATTTTGCAGTTCTCTTGGTGAAAAGTGATTTCTCTTTCTCCCGCTCCTAACTGTGACTCCTTTCCATGGTGCTTCCTCCACTAAGTCTGTTTTCTTCTCAGCCTTATCGTTCTTTGCTTTGTCTTGCTGCTTTTCCACATCCAGTGCCTCCCTCGACTGCTGCTGCTCAGGAGCTGGCAGAATTTGCCTCCCATCTTCTCTTATAATCTTAAGTATGGCCACTTACCTCTCCAGCTCTTTCTCTTTTTCTTCCAGCAGTGCTACCAGTTCGCACTTGATGCATGTGTATACACTGTGTTGTTCTTCAAATAGAGATTGGTTGGTGTACATCAGGGATGTTTTATCTGTGGATCTCCAGAATTGGCAGGTGGCTGGACTGAACTTTAAAATTCTACATTTCTATGATTGTATGATTTCTCTAATCTGTGATGTGAATTCTGATGCAGTGTGGGTTTTTAGATAAGTACTCTTTTAAAGGTTGATTTCATCAAGAGATCTTGAGTGCCTTTCAGGTTAATTATTCACAAGTACAGACTTGGATTAAAAAGCCTGTTTGCATGCACATAAGGAACTTGGGGTAACCTAGTGGGTTTTATTTTGTTTTCTTTTATTTTAACCTTGAATAGATGCTTATGCCATACATGCAAGAAGCATGGAGTTTGCCATGGATATGGATGTAACCTTCAAAATGTAGCCCATATTTTATTTATTTTTTGTAAATTATCCTGGACCAATGCTTTGTAACTTCAAATACTCTTTCTTTACAGAATCGGCATAGCTTTACTTAATGACTAAAACTGCAGTGCCTAATTTCCAAGTATGGTTCTTGAACAAAGATTTTTGTTCAGTATATACACACAAAGTCAGTGATATATGTATACAGTATACATATACATATATCATTGACTTTTTGTATATATACTCTCTGTGTGTGTATACACATAGAGTATATACACAAAGTATATCTAGAACATTTTGTTTCTCACAATATACTGTATGTATACAATATATACAGTATATAACAATTTTAACACCAGCACTTACTCAAACTCTTCTTGTTCACATTTTCACCAACCCCATCTTTTTTATTTTTTTCAGGAAAACCTGTAAATTCCTTGTTTGTGGTGCCTGCTGTGACACCAGTGAAGGCTAGATTGGAGGCAGACTCAAACAACCCAGCAGTAAGACTGTATCAGTATGATACTCTTTCATATAGCCTCTTGGTAAGTAAAAATTGAAAGCCAGGGGTTTAAGTTAATTTTAGTAGCAACTCTTGTCTTTTGTGGTGAATGGTGGAAACAGAAAAGACAGAAAGTATAGCATACATCGTTTGTTCCTTCCATGTAATTACTTCCCATGTCACTAATTTCTCATCACCAATATGTAGGTTATGAAGAGTAAACTGAAGTGAATATGGATGGATCAACAAGGTGAAGGAATCTACCCCCACTGAAATCTTTTTCTGTTGCCCACTTTCATATTATTTTCTTATCTTTAGTATTTCCTCACCCATGCAGCAACAGGTAAACACAGCCTTCGTCCTTAATTGTTACTGCTGGAAGTAAACAGAGAAACAAAATGTTCTAAAGTTAGCACATTTGGCTGGATAGCTCAGTGAGTTAGGTATCTAGCTGTGGAGCCAGAGGTTGAGAGTTTGATTCCTCACTGTACCTCCTGGGGGGGGGGGACAGCCTGTGTAGACTTGGGCAAGCTGCAAAGTCCCAGAGTACCCACAGAAGAAGGAAATTATAAACCACTTCTGACTACTCTCTACCGAGAAAACCATGGAAAGGCTCACCGTAAGTCAGAATTCTCTCTCTCTCTCTCTCTCTCTCTCTCTCTGTGTGTGTGTGTGTGTGTGTGTGTGTGTGTGTAACTACTTTGCTCTTTTCAACACTTAGTTTTCATTAGACCTTGGTTTTTATGCTATTAATTCCTTTTCTCTTACCTGTTTTTCCAGTTCATGCTTAGACTTCAAACTCTTTCCCATCTTTCATATTTCAGTCTGTCCTTTCACCTTTATTAAACTATATTTCTCAAAGAAATCCAAATTAGACAATTTACTGTGGACCAGGGTTAGATAGGATAGTGCTTCCCTTCTTATTCATATATTTTTCTGTAGTATTTTTAATTATTTTGTCTTACGCATATCATAAGGTACAGTCCTGCTGGCAATTTGGATTGGCTCCTGTTCTGACTTTTTTAATATATAAAATTCAAATCATATGGTATATAAATCTTATTTTTTTATTTATTTATTAGACTTATATGCCACCCATCTAGACAATGTCTACTCTGGGCGACTCACAACAAATACAGTAGAATAAAACAATACTAATATTACAACAATGTTGCAACAGTTTCACAACAATAGACAGTCGGTAAATCAGTAGCCATGTTTACTTTGACTGAAATTAAATCAATTTATTTCTGGTAATTAAAACCATTTTTGGCAGATACACTCATGAACTCGATGCATTTCATTTTTGTTTTAGTGCATGCTTTTTGTAAACTGACTTTTTAAAAAAAGTGATACAGTGAAAAATTGATGGCTCCATTCATCTGACAAGTGATAGCACACTAAGTGATCCTTTACTAAACATTTTATAAGACATTTTTTAAAATAGAGGGGAAAAACACAATGCCAGTGCCACTGACATTCAACAGAGACCAAAGTAAATCAGCAGCACTGTCCATAGCCACCAAACTAAACTGAATTAAAGTGATTTATAAATGAGGTATTCTAAAAAGCCCCTGCCAGCCATTGGGAAAAAACTGGCTTTGCAGCCCATATAAGTCTATTTCACCTTGCAGAATTTTATAAATTGATTTAAATAATGCTTAAATCAGTTTAACTGTGGTTCTTATTGCCAGTAGGACCTCACCCACAGTTATGCCAGAAACTGCTCTCAGGTAGGGTATGATAAAAGCAAGTAACTGCCATCATTTTTAATACAGTCACTAAAAATTGGAGGTGGGCTGAGAAACAATTCACACTTTCATCAGAAAATCCACAAATGAGAACTTAAACAAATTGTATTAACTTGATAAAAGACATACAATATCAGGACACTGTGAGCTAATTTCAATTTTAGTTCCAACTAGCATATACCGTCTGAATGAACAGGGCTTTTCAAGTCAACTTTTTTCAGTGGGTCTACTCCTGTTGAGGCCAAGAGTGGAGTTATCCTAATGTGGGTTCCACAAGAAAGGGCTTGGCTCCACCGTCCCACAGTCCTCACCTTGAAAAAAGCAGAAGGACACAATATAGGACTTTCCCAGAACATACCAGTACAGTCAAATTGCACAGACAAAAGGACAGCTTCCTTAAATTACACCGACCCTGCCTAGACCATGTATAGTTATAAATATCAACAGTAGCACCTGGTGGATGTGCCCTGGAAACAAATAAAGAAGCTAGCCTACGTGACCTAGACATAGAATAGTAGGTGGCTTATCTCTGTCAGAAAGTTTTTAATAGCTGCTGCTTTAGAATGATCTTTAAAGTTAAATTTATGAAGCAGAGCCTAGAAAGTTACAGTATTTGGAAGAAAACTGTGGAAGCTCGCTATATGTGAGCACTGGAGGGATGATGCTCTGGTATACCATGATGAATGCATTCCATTAATCTAAATAATACGAGTACTGAAGCATGGAGTACCACGGACACCACATGAAAGTCCAGTGATACCAAGAGGACCACATCCAGACTTTGAAAAGAAGAACATATTGGTCAATAGAGGGTTGACATAACCTTCCAGTTTGGGTTCATCCATTGTCATTTTACTTTTTTGTCAAGATGACATGAACCTAAACATCAGCCCTTGCCCTGTACATAAATAGATTTGGGCAGTCTTTCGTGAAATTAGTTGGTGATAGTAGAGTGACCAGAAAAGGGGGCGAGGACAGCTAGGTGTTGAGTGACACAGCACTCCAAGCTACAGAGTGGCCCCAAGAGTTGTAGGTAAGTGTTAAAAAGCAGAGGTGGCTATGTGGGATCACTTGGTATTTTGCAGAACAGGTCCTGCTGTGGCACTGACCTGTAATTTAGGAGTGGGACACCTGCAGTGCTGTTTCATGTACCACAGCTGCTCTGTGTTGTTCAGAGTGTTTGATTATCTGTAATATTGAATGTCACTGAGAGGTTTAAAAGAATAAACAAGGAGGATATCTCCTGCTTTTTCCACTGTAAACATAGACGGCTGAACGGGTCAGCTAAAGCAATGGTCCCCAACCTTGGGCCTCCAGATGTTCTTGGACTACAACTCCCAGGAGCCTTCACCATCACCTCTGCTGGCCAGGATTTCTGGGAGTTGAAGTCCAAGAACATCTGGAGACCCAAGGTTGGGGACCACTGAGCTAAAGGGTTTCATTCCTAAAGCCTGCTCTGAACTTCAACTAGAGCAAGAGTCTCTGCTGGTTTACTAACACCCGCTTCACCATCTCACCCAAAATGAGAAGTTTAATCTGTTTCTAATGAAGACATTAAGCAACCACCAGATCTGACCTGCCTATTCAAACCCTGCACTCATTAGGATGTACATATAGGACAGACGATCCCCAACAGCTCAGAGTAGACACCCTTTAATGTCACACCAGCCATTCTCAGGAATTTCCTACTAGTACAAATTGGACTGCTGATAACCAGGTTTTTGGTGCGTATTAATCCTTACAACATCCTTTGCTAAAATGGTGATTTCCCCCAGCTCATACTTGGTATCATATTATTGTCATTTTAAAGGTCTATGTAGTATTTTGTTAAGAGGGACATGGTGGCGCTGCAGGTTAAACCACAGAAGCCTCTGTGCTGAAATGTCAGAAGACCTGCAGTCGTAAGATTGAATCCACGCGACAGAGTGAGCCCCCGTCACTTGTCCCAGCTCCCGCCAACCTAGCGGTTCAAAAGCATGCAAAATGCGAGTAGATAAATAGGTACCACCATGGTGGGAAGGTAACAGCATTCTGTGTCTAGTCGCACTGGCCACATAACTATGGACGATTGTCTTCGGACAAAACGTTAGCTCTATGGGTTGGAAACGGAGATGAGCATCACTGCCTAGAGTCGGATATGACTGGACAATTTGTCAAGGGGAACCTTTACCTTTACCTATAGTATTTTGTTACAGCTTATGCTGTATTGTTTATGTATCACATAGAAATGTTTAATGGAAGCAATTCATAAATATGAAAAATAAGTATGTTTAAATAAGAAAGTGGATCGTGGCATTTCTTAAACTACCTGGCTTAAGCTAATTCATCTTTTCCTCCAGTAGTGTATAAAATTTTAATTTGCAGGTGCTATCAATTTTGTTCCACCTCTTCTCCTAATTTTTCTTGGCCCTTATTGTCCCTCTAAAATGTCCTTATCTTAGTGCTACAGTAACAAAGGTCAGTAAATTTCCACGTCTGTACAGGTCTGAAAATTGCAGCAACATTTTCCAAGTCAAAACTATAGCCATATCAACTCAGGTTCTTTTCACTGACAGGCCAACAGTTCCCAGATCTTCACGCTTCCCTTGTCTTTTCTCTCCTGTAAAAGTAAAGGTAAAGGATCCCCTTGACAATTTTTGTCCAGTCGTGTTCGACTCTAGGGGGCAGTGCTCATCCCCGTTTCCAAGCCATAGAGCCAGCGTTTTGTCCAAAGACAATCTTCCGTGATCACATGGCCAACGCGACTTAGACACGGAACGTTGTTACCTTCCCACTGAGGTGGTCCCTATTAATCTACTTGCATTTGCATGCTTTCAAACTGCTAGGTTGGAGCTGGGACAAGTGACGGGCGCTCACTCCATCACGTGGATTTGATCTTACGACTGCTTGGTCTTCTGACCCTGCAGCACAGGTTTCTGTGGTTTAGCCCACAGCGCCACCACGTCCCTCTTTTCTCTCCTGTACCTAAGCCTGTTGGATGGCAGAGTCCTACCTTTTCCATTCCTAAATTATACTTCCACCATTCATTGTTCCTGGAATATATTTAAGGCCATTTGTAGTCCACACAAAACAATTTGAAATTGGGCAATCCCAGTTCTAATGGGAGAACTGGGAAGAAAAGATGGATTCTATAAACTATGCAAATTAAGCAGATTTCCATAGTTTCCTTTACACAATTTATTCAGCAATGTTTACTATTCTCCTAGATATATGTTTGCTGGTCTGAGGTTCCTGAAATCATAACACTCTCAGAAACACACACCCCTTTTTAAAGTTAAAGCTTTGGTTCTCAAGAAGCTGTCGTGTTGCATCTGCACCATCAGCACAGCCCTGGGTATACTGTATTGCTATATGTTATCTTTAGGCTAGATACACTGTTTGTCTTGTCTGAAAATTCTGTCTATGAATATCATTTCTCTTTCTCTATTCCAATCCTTCCTTTTCCTGTAATATTAGGGTAACAACAGAATTGAACTGGCTCATGTGTCTTGCGGTGGGACATGACCCTTCTCTTCAGTTGTGAATAATAGGCAGTGACGGCTTCTTAAGCAGTATGTCACTCTAGAAACTTAATGAAGTGGGGGACACAATGGTGCACTTATTTTTCCTTTTTAATTCTAGGATCTTTGGCAGTTTTACTTGAACCTCACAGAAGCCAACTTGAAAAATGAATCAGTCTGGAAGCTTGAATATGTTATGTCCAAAGCCTATGGGATAGAAGACTTAAAGCCAGAAAGTTTATATGAAATGGCAAATCAGCTGAGCATGCCACAGAGCAAATTATTCCAGAAATACTACAATTACTATTTTGTGAGTTATGATCCAAGCTTGTGTTGTGAAGAGCAGTGCAGAATCAATCAAATATGTGCAATTCAACATCTAGACCGTTCCTCCTACACAGATTGTATTGAACATGAAGGCAAATTACAGTATGGGTAACAGATAGTGTTTACTCTAAAGAACTGTATCTTCTAAGGCCCCATTCAGGCAGGATCATTTCAGCTTCATAAACAGTTATTTATTAGGCTAAGAACAAGTTTCGTGATGGCATCCTTTCTCTTGTCTCTGCTCTTTAGGGCGAGCTTTCGTTTAAACCAGGGGTCTCCAAACTTTTCACATGGAGGGCACGTAATATATTTTTGATATTTTTGAAGGCTGAAGGAATGTGCGCATATGCATGCAAGTGCACACATGCACTCCCACCCACTCACACAACACACTCCCACCAGCCCATGGACACGCACGCACACACAGACATTCCCACCTCTCCACACACACACATTCCTGCACGCACACACTCCTGTACGCACACGTACAAACGCATGCCCACTCCTCCACACATGCACTCCCACCCCCACACGCATATGTGCTTGCCCACATGCACACATTCACGCCCGCCCACATGCATAGATGGGCTGGATAAAAAGGTTTAAACCATGGTTTTCCATTATATTCAATCCTAGTTTCTTATCCCAGTTAGTGTTACAAGATGACACCAGTTTTCTAGACTGGATGTAATGACAAAGTGTGATTTCAACAGAAGCATTTCACTAGCTTGAGTGTGTGCATGAGAGCAGGAAGGTGCAGACCCCACATTAGTTCTTGGTAACAAATTATGATTGATTAACCCAGGGAAATCCAATGTGGAAAATACCTAAATATAAAAACCAAATCATAATTCATTCATTATTTATGTTGTGATGTCAGTTTAGAGGGCTATAACATAACAATAGAAAATGTTGTAGGAAGGAACATGTATATGTAGATTTCTTTAGTGTAGTTGTAGAATGAAAATAAAACCTTTGTGGTTCCTGCCTGTAAGTACTTGTGTAGGGGGAAATCCTTCTGTAACATACTTTTACACACACAAGAAACTCTCTCATTCAGATGAGGAAAACGTGTGACTTACCTCTGAGAGATTCCTGGTCTGCTAGATATATATGGTATATCTAATATATATCTGAAGTTCACAAATCCATCAAGAAATATTTGCTAAGTGTATTATTCACTTAAGCATGGTACTTCTATGGAGGCATGGGTACAATTCAAAACACTTGTACTAGCTCTTATCTGCAAAACTGCAGGAGTTTTGAGAAGACTATGGAAAGCCAAAAATAGTGAGAATTTTAAATAGTGTATGTTTACATGCAATCATAGCTTTGTTTTTCTTTAAGAAGTTGTAATTTTGTCCAAGGATGCCTGTGTATACATGTGGCAACAAAATACTGTAACTGATTTTTCTAATAAAGCTATGTCTGTCTTCCTTATCTAACTTTCAAGCTACCTTGAATTCCTTCCTGTGCATTTTTAAGGTGTTTCATATATTCCTCTGTATAAATTTTTTGTATTACGGATTAGCTTTCTTGTTGCTAATTACATGGAATTCCTAGTCAAGCTTTAGTTTTACAGGATTGGATCCTAAGTTGCTCGTCTCTTCATATGGGAAGGAACTTCCATCAACTTCCCTTTCCATCTGTCTTGCCCTGTAGCATACTTGACATCATTTTCTAGGGTCCTCTGACTCCAGGAAACAGATATTTAGAGAGGGAAGGGTGATGTGGAAAAGCCTTTTTTATTTCTGTCACACCACAACAATGTTCATGAAAGACAATTCTGGAATATATTTTGGTCTGCACATTCATTGGATTGCATCCAGTGATGTCCTTCCAGAGAAACAGACACAGCTGTGGTTCAAATTCCTCCTCCTTCCTTCTACTGCTCAGGCATTCCCAATCTTCTCCAATAAATACAGCATCTCCAGCTTCTGTTTTAAGACCTCCAGCAGAGGAGCTTCTGGCTAGTACTTTCTAGGTAAATGGCTCCATTTAAAAAAAAATGTTCTTGCTGCTAAGTACTTACCAAAAATCCAAAACACATTCCTTCTGGATCTGCAAAGAAATTTTTTTGGTCTTCTGCTGTGTGATACCTTTTCAGATATTTGGAGTGGCATCACTGCCATCATCCCTTCTCCAAACAGGGTTTTTTAAAATATATTTCCCCCTCGTATCTGAACCATCTTTGCTATCTGCTTCAGAATCCATTCCAATTTATCTGCATACTTTAACTATTATGCCCAAACCCAGACACAATAATCCAGAAGAGATCTGGTTAGTACTGTATAGAATAAAGTGGAATTTTAGGTGACTTGGAAACTGCAACATAATATTGCATGACCTCGTTTTGCATCCAGACAATGCTTCTGGTATATGTCCTGGCTCTCTGTGACTACAATTCTGGGACCCCTTTCACATTTATTTAATTAGATTGGTATTGGTCTGGGTCCTTAGGCTATCGAAGAGCATTAATTTGCCCTTCTGACTTGAGGGACCAATGATCTCAATCAGCATAAAAGAGCTTCCCATTTATATGTAGCTACTTTGGAGGAATGACTTGAAAACAACTACTATACACCAAATCCAAAGGAGTAACTGGTGCTGAATATTGTGATATCAGTGAAGTGCCAGATGAATAGCAGTGAATACTGAGGAAATGCGAATGCTGTAGTGCCATGCTAATTATACCACTTGCATAGTTTTAGTATGGACACAGACTTAATTTGCCACCAGGAGTTTGTAAGAACTCCGCTTTCAGATAATCTTCAAATGCAGGAGTGCAGTGAATGGGAGTATTCTTTCAGAAGCCTGTTGCATTCATTTTATGCTTTTAAGATGCAATTTACTTCCTATAACTGAATACTGTAATGTAATTTACTGGAAGCTGATATAGAATTCCTATGTGGATGCACTTCGTCATGTTTTCATTTTTGCTCAAATAAAGCTAATGCAGCTTCTGGGCATTGATTTTGAAAGTAAAGGTAGAATTAAAACCCATTTAGTTACCTACCACATTATTGCTACACTCAAGAAAATGAAACCTACTTCCAAGAATCAAAAACAGCAGTGCCTGAGCTAATAACTTAGAACAGCCAAAAATGTACAGCACTGTGTATTGAACCAGACTGATCAATGTTCAAGCTAATACAATTAGACTTTTAATGATCTTATTACCCAGGCGACATATTTTTAATGGTATACTTACACATATTTCTCAGGTATATCACCCTCCCAAAGCAGTTTAACAAACAAATGCAACCCATCATCTTAAAGGACTGAGCAAGACCCTTTCCCCCTTATTTCCTTCACTGGAATAAAAAGCTCTTCCCAAATAAATGGAAATATGCAAAATGCATGTTTTGGCATATATAAAAATGTAAAAATATGCCTTCCATATCTTCCAGTTTTCATGCGTGAAATATCGGTCAGCTTTGCATGGAAGCAAATGGTTTTTACTAGGTATAACAAATTTCAGTGAAAGCAAAGCAGAAATGAATTAGCTAAAATTTGGAGCAGAGTACTCATCCATTTAGTAAATATGCACTACAGTGATGCATACATTTTCAGCTGTGCTCACATGCACGTTCTAAAATACAATAAATGTACTGTGGTCAAAGTCTTCCATATTCTGATTCATATTTGATTATTTATGAAACAAAATTCTTTTATTGCTATGCAAAATTGAATCCCACAATCTTTCCTTAGAATATTGTTATTAAAATATGTGGTCTAATATACACGAGAAAAGCTTTTTTTTTTCATACTACAAATGTCTGGATACAATTTTTAGCTCAGAACAAAAAGGATCCAGGAACACACTGGCAGAAACTGACATTCTGTTACTGAACAAAAACTATGAAGGGTGGTCACTGGGTAGTTGCTATGGTTTCTTGAGGCCTCCTGACTGCAATTTCCTAGCTTCACAGGGAGGAAAGAGTCCTACAGTATGAGGGGAAAGAGCCCCATTGAATGCCTACAGATGATTCAAAATAGGTGTTGTTTTTTTGTATACATCCTAGAAAACATGTTATAATTCCTTGTGGGGTGGGGAAGAGGGAAGAGGATTCATGTATTTGTCAGCCACAAATACATGAATATGCCAGGAAGCAAACAAAGTAGTAGGGTTTATTTGGATAATCAAGAATCAATCCTTCTTACTTTGCTATAGGTGCTTTAGAATTAAGTATTATTACAGAAATATTTCAAAATTTGCATGTGTAGTTCATACTGCTCTCACACTTCCATAAATTCTGGGTTCCAGTTCAGTACAGACATAGGAATTTGTTGTATAGTAGACTATTTATTTGAAACCTATTGCTTTCAGTCTCCAGCACAGAGAGACTTGTTTTCAAGGAAACTATGTTTGAAACCAATGAAGGCTGCTGACAGGATCAGCAGAATCCACAGTCATTCTGTTTCTCTCTTGGCATAAGCCATCTGTCCAGGTAACCGGTATAGTTGTTGTGCCAAACCCAGGCACAAAACTTATAATACAGGGGTTTCCAAAGTGTGTACCAAACTCAGCCAGCAGCACTACAGAATCTTTTCTTGGGTTTTTCACTGAGCTGCTCCAATGGTCCAGCTCCTTCTCGTTCCTTTGCCTACATGTCCACCCCATGCCCCTCACTGCTCCTCTTGCTCTGCCACCATTGACGCTGCTCAAAGGAAGCCATGAGTCGAGAAAATTTGAGAATCGCTGCTATAATCCATTGCTGTTTTGAAAAACAACACAGTGGCCAAGATGCTCTTGCACATTTATGCCAGCTTAATTCAAACAGTGTAACATTTGGAGGTGAATTTCCTCAAGTTAAGAAATCATCATAAACATTTGTTTTGTGCCAAGTCACACAACTCGTAAACAAAGGATGCCTATAGCAATTTCTTAACTTGAGGAAATTCACCTCCAGAAGTTACACTCTTTGTGTTACACCAGCATAACTATGCAAGATTTTAGCTACTATGCTAGCCAATTGGAGTACTGGAAGTATCAGTTACAATATTTTATTATTACCTATATGCATAGTTCAAGTTCATGCATAGCAAAAGACAAAGAATAGTGCCTACTTGGCTACTCAATGGTGATGGCAAAATGAGAATAGATGACAAGGAAAAGGTGTAAATGCTTGATTTCTACTTTGGCTCAGTTTTTTCCCAAAAGATAGCCTATGTCCCACCTCGCAAATATGAAGAACAAGTGGACGGCACAGGATTGCATACAGGGTACATTATAAAGACTCAGACTTGAGTTCTGTTCAAATACTGAAATAAATGGATGTGCTAAGAGCAACCTGTTACGTAACCCTACGTGAATGGAAGTATGTTGGATTTATGCAGTGGATGAAGTTGGCTACAGTTCGGGACTTCAATGAAAAGCTTTCAAATGCAAACATATTACAAAATTATAAAACCTGTTTGGACATTGCCTAGCATAAATATTTGTGCATGGATTTATGGAGAGGTTACGCCAGATCACACCACTGCACAAACAGTTGTGCAAAAGAACCCTCAAGGTTGTAAGACCCATTGCACCATATTGTCACTGGCAACATGTGGTTGGGGCAGGATCCATCAGAATGTGCCATTGCTTTGTGCCATGTTTCACAGGTACAACTCTGTTTTGGATACAACCCCTTCCATGATTTTTTTAAAAGAGGCAACTGTTCCCAAACTGGTACTTAGGCTCATGTAAATCCTCAACATGATTCTGACCTTAGTTTTACATCACTGCTAGAATATTACACATCTTTTAGAAATACTCTAAGGGCCCTTAAATATGGCACAGGTCAGGGCTTTATCCTGTCTTAATTCTATATGATTGCCGTATATAACTGTCTCCAGCCAGAGACTACATAGTGCTTCTTCCTGGTGAATCTTGGAGTTACAGCAAAAAAACAAAGTAGGCCTCACAAACCTGAACTCTGCCCACTGTTGTTATAGGCAGTTCGTGTAAGGGATCTGCCCTTCTTTTCATGCTTCTACAGTAATTAATATCCAGGGGGAATGATGGTTTTTCCAAAGCCATCCAGACTTAAGTTCAGACGCTACAGAATTGTGAAGAAAGCTATATAAGTCAAACCAAAGAAAATATATCAATCATAGCACTTCATTTTTTCCCCCTTGAAACAGGAAACTGGGGGTTTAATGTGGTTCAAGTGTTGGGGGGGAAATCACCCCCATCTTTCTAAGAAAGAAATATTCACTCTTTTCTTTTTCAGTGCAGCCACATAAAACAGAGCCATGGTTCACTGGGTCACACACTATACAATATTCCTTGTAAGTATATTTTGGCGCATCATTCCAAGTCTTTTTCCCACCCTGAGAGAAACTGCACCACACACAATACACCTCTTTGTTTGGCAGAAGCTTAGTTACAACCGGGTTGTGCAGAATAGCCTTTCAGTCCTCTTTTACACTGCATTCTCCATCCATCCATTCCCAC